TTCTGAATGATTCTTATTACTGCTCACAACTTTGATAGCACCGCCATCAAAAGTCCATGACCCGTCCTGTAGCTCTTACCAGCTATTATCACATGCTATCAGTTCGTGTCACAGAGTACCTACGACACGTCCAATCCTCCATCACCTATTGAAATGCCAAGATTCCACCGTTGACACGAAGGGGATTGCAAAACTAGAGGCTCAAGCCTGCTAGATTCTTCGCCAGCCCTTGCCCGTGTGCTATCAGTCCTTGTCACCCATTAACTTTACATACCACACCGCCCCCTGAAGTGCCCCACTGTTGCTATGAAAGACGCTATAGACCTAATAGGTATCGCCTTCTATGGCTCGTTATCAGTCCCTAACAGCTGTTATCAATTCTTATCCCTGAGCATCTACGGTCCCTTACTAATCCACATCCATTATTGAAGTGCCAGGGGTTCACCACTTACTCAGGAGGTGAGGGATTCTGCCGCTCTCCTTAGAGCTCTTTCTCAGCTCCTTTCAATTGTCATCAGCTCTTATCACTCATCACCCATGTTTTCATTCTGCCGCCTGTATCATACCAGATTTCAAGGCTATAAATCTACTGGAACAGGATATGAATTTCCGGTCAAACACATACACACCGACGAACCGACTGACACACTTAGTGAATTATATTTACTAGGATCCTTACCCTACATCCCTATCCTACATACTTGTCTCTTCTTATCTACAACTTTCCAATCAGGNAAAAATCTAGCAAATATTGGTCAGAGGAGAAGATTAATCGCTGATTGATTCTAGCATTTTGTGAGAAGAACATAACTTGGCTTGTTCCTTGCTAACAGATAACCACAAATATGCATGAATGTTTATGACTCGTTAAAGACACAGTTTACGATAAAAATGGTTTCTGAGATTCCCTCATATAGTGAATTTGAGGTCCCCTCATATACCATGTCTGGCGCTATCAAGTCTGAAAGGGGCCTAGATAGGGCGTGATGAAGGCTCTAAGAAGTACCGTGCGTACCCAGGTACGGTTTAACCGGCATTGCGGAGGCTGCACCGATCATAAGGGCACACATGTAGGCATTTCAAGCAACTTCTCATGACCAAAAGCAACAGTTAAAAGACGTCCTGTACAGTTGTGGTTTGTTGTAGTCAGCTCTTTGCGCAATTGCAACAACCGAAATCTCGTCCGAATACCCCTCCATGATATTTGCGTCATGGTATCCTCGTCCAACCTCTTCTTTCCCTACTTTCAAAGAGTCTTATTTGCCCTCGAGTTCGGCGAATTTTTCCCCTCCTTCATCACACATAAACATTCCCAACCTATACTTCCGCTTTTCGGTCACAATTGGGTACTTTGAAATCACCGTAAACTTTGCCTTTAAGGTATCGCGTTTTCTTCCCATTCAGATGTTAGCTGCGACAAAACTTTTCCAACCACCGAAATACAGAAATCCACCCTCAGTATAAGAACTGTGGACTTCACCATCAAACGATTCAAGGAGCCCGGTGCTACAGAAGATCGCTCAGGAAGAGGAAAAAACAACTCCAACTTCCACGAGAAATGTACAAGTTGTAGGGGATATGGTGCAGCGCAATCCGAAGAGGTCGGTGAAAAAGATTGCCAAAAAACTGGGAATAAGTCATAGTTCCACTCGCCGTACAGTTAAAGAGAAGCTAGGATTGACACCTTATCGCTGCTGAAAGGTGCACTTTCTCACTGCATCCACGAAGAAAAACCGGACCCAGAAGTGCAAGATGCTCCACCAATGGCTCGCGTCGGTGCGCCACCGAGATACTGTCTTCTCCGATGAGAAGCTGTTTAGGTTGGAGCCAACCTTCAACCGCCGAAACGATCGGATGCTCTGCTCGACAGGTGAAGAAGTCAACGAGAGGGGAAGAATTCATGGATGCTCTGGACATGAGAAAAATCATGTTTTGGGCGGCGATAACCAAAGAAGCAAAGTTCCCGCTGGTTTTCATCGACAACGATGTTCAAATCAGTACGGAAGTCTATTTGGAGAACAAGCTGAAAAACACCTTGCTTCTGTGGGCAAATTATCACTCAGCTCTAGACCGTTTGTGATCCATCAAGATTCAGCACTTATAGAGCGTGGGTGACCAGCAGTGGTGCCGAGACACCCTTCCATGATTTATCAATGCTCAGGAATAGCCATCTGATAGCTCTGATTGAATCGAACAAATTATTCCGTATGCTCGCTAATAGTAAGGATAGAATAAGGATAGGGAACAAGGTACTCATGTCATTTACACGTCCACAAAACCACTGCTTACAGAAATCCCGTCGAATGCGGGGCTGCATCGGAAACGCAATGATAACTCTGAAGTAACTTCCATGTGCAGCGGTAGCCATACCCACACATTGCGAGGGATTGCAACCATTCCCGCTCCTTTCGCTACCACCTAGCCAACTTGATTCAGCTCATCTCCATCATTGTTCTGTTTCTCCACTCCGTCCCTCTGTCCATTGCCAACCTTTTGCTCTCATACACAGACTCGCTACTAACAGTCACTCTTTGTTCTTTTCGTGTTTCTGCTCTTGACGATCAATTGTTACAGATCACATCTTGGAGCCATTCTGTTCACTTTACGTTCACTTCGAACACACTGATTATGCCTTCTTAACCTTCCCAGTTTTCATGCACGCTTCGGCCTCCGTGAGCAAGATTCGAGCCTGACACCCACCATTAGAGTACTCATCCTGCCTCTTCTGCTCCCAGGTGGCCGAAATAGAATTTATGATTTTCCGATCTTACCAATTACACACACACACACAC